TAGCCCTTCGCTCCGACGAAGGGCTAACGCTCGAAACGTCAGCTTTTGTAATCGTTACGGTGGCCAATTTACCATTTCAACTTTTTTGATATATCCAAATTATATAAATGATGGTTATGAATATTCTTACCAATAAATCCTCTGATGAGTGAGCAATCACGAAACAAGTTTGTGGGGATCAAAGCGTAATCTTTGTATTTTTCGAAGTCAACATTTATACATATATCATTTATACATATATCAGACAGTTCTGTTTCGGGCTTCTGGGCCTCACTAGTGCAGTGCTGATGCTAGGATGGGGGAGAGCCAATATGGATCCCCAAACGATCCCACACTTGTCGTATCATCTAAGCCATGCCAGAGTGCTCAAACTAGAAGAGCCTAGTGAGCTATGCACAATGCTAGCAGCGATGACTCATCCTACAGTGCTCAATTTGGACATGAAAGCAAAGCTTTGTATCTCAAAGAGCTATATCTAACTGCATACACACACACACACACACACACACACACACACACACACATATATATATATATGTGTGTGTGTGTGTGTGTGTGTGTGTCTGTGTGTGGACTGAATTATAAAGAATTTTTATTGGTTTTACGATTTATTGTGGCTTGTAACTGCTCTTTTAAAGGTTGATGTGTACAGCTTCGGTGTTCTTCTGTGTGAGATGTGTGTCCGAGAACTGCCAGATCCTGAAAGGCTTAAACAACAAGTTGTTATGGTTACAAACCATGAACTGCGAAGTCTCATTCGGAAATGTTTGCAGTTAGAACCAGAGGCGAGGCCAAGTATGGAAGAAATAATTACTGGTAAGACATGTTTGAGAATCTTTAATAGCAAAGGCAGGCATTTTCCGAATCCTAATACCTGAAATAATTACTGAAGAGTATCATTTGGATTTTACAACTGTCAACCACCAAATGGCCAAAAAATTACTGAATCATCAACTGTGAAAAAATGTCGGCGACTTAAAGGCCTACTTCTTGTAACACGAAATTCCTCAATCACTGAAAACCTTCTAAAATCGTCCTTCTCAAGAGCCATCCCGGACCATGTAGTCAATTGTTTTACGGTAAATACATTTGCCGCTGGTCATTTTACAGTTTTCTAGCAGTATTTTGAATTTAGTCCGTATTTAATTGGAAATTGTACTCTTCGAAGTGGAAAGTTTCGAATAATATGTAAAATCAGGCCAGCTCGTGCGAGATCTGTTTGAAAGGTGACTGAAGTGCCTCCAATACACCTTTCACGGACAAAACAAAGACCTACATCCGTCTCACATCAAACTGGGTGCCTCTAGTTCAGCCTTCTACTCCCCTTGAGAGCTACTAGAAGAGATTACTGTATCCAAGCAAAAAACTAATTTGTAACGCTCTGAATGAGGTGACGGTTCTAAAGGAGTTGAAAAACAACTCTGGTTTAAACCTTAAAACCTCAAAAGAAGAAGCCAAAGAGCAACTCAACACCAGAGTTCACTAATTAAACACCTCTCAAAGCATCGATAGTAAAAAAGAAGCGGGAATGGTTAATGAGTTCATAGACCAAATGTAGCTAAATGTATCGGCGGAAACACATTGATGACATGATTTAGAAATGGCTTTCACAAACTCCCAATCCGCCTAAATACACAATCAGCCCTTACTGAAAACGATTTTTACACAACATCTGATCATCTCTGGCTAAAAAAGGGAAAATCTCTTACGACACACTTGTGAGAGCAAAATTATAATTTGCAGGCGACAATGCGACGCGACTACAAAAGCCACTTTAGGGATTCCATACATGCCGGTCTGTCTTTACCTTTCTTCACAACGTGGCAAGGTTAAAATAACTGACCAATCAGAGGCGCTATTTAACCAAAGGCGGTGATTCAAACCATAAAGAAAGGACCGCGTGGCATCAAGGTTGGTTATGGGCCTTTAAACCACCAACATAGCCTGCCGGTATTACCTAATAGTTCTCTCTTGAGTGGTAACATGATGTGCCCTTTACGAGTGATATGTTAAAACAATTGAAAAATGTACTTTAATAAACTTTAGGTCCCATTGTTCACACCTGTGGTAATGGGACAAAACTGTCACCTTTGTGGAGGAATTTGAGGTGTCTTAGTGCCTCAAACGTAAGTTTAAAAATAGCTCCGTGCATAGGTTGATAGGGTCGTTGTGTGCACTTTGAGGGGTTACTTAGCTGACCCCCGTTGCCACTTATGAAGTGATTAAAAAACGAAACTCCTTTTACTTAAGACATTTAAGCAGTTGATCAGCTTATTTAGCCAACTAATTTTAATTGCTTTTTGTCTTACTATAAGACTATAGCAGACGACATTCGCAGCAATCTGCATCAGTCCTCACTTGCTCCAGTACTTGCAAACCTCTTTATGGGACATCATAAAAAAAACTGGCTAGATAACTATTCATTCTCTGAAGTTCTGTTCTACAGACGCTGTTGATGACACCTTTTGTTTGTTCAATAGCGAGGAGGACGCGCTCGTATTCTTTGACAACACCAGGCACCCTAGTATTCGTTTCACAATGGAAAGGGAAATTGATAAGAAATTATCGTTTCTAGACATATCGTTAGACAACAGTCATACATCTATCGTCACTAATGTAAATCGCAAGAAGACGTTTACTGGTCTTCTTACTAATTATCTCGTAGCCTATATGCATGACAGGACTGTTAACTCTAATAATATCTAATGCTACTGAAATATAAATGATCAATATAAAACAATAAAAGTGTCCATTGGCCCAATATTAAGATGTTTTTTTTTAAATGTTCATGATGTACTGTTCAGCTCTTAAAATATCCTTAACTTAAAATGTTCATAAAATACTGTTCTTAAAAACCAAATCATAATGTCCTTAAAGTTCTTATGATGTACCCAGTTTAAATGTTCTGCAATGTTCAGTCCTACTTATTATTATTATTATTATTATTATTATTAGTCAAGGAGCGCTACTTACATTTTTCGCGTATTTAATATTCAAATTGTAACGTAAGCCCTGACACGTAATTTGTAACGTACCTTAATATGAATTCAAATGTACAACCGTTAAAAGCTCATTTGCAACTGAAGATGACATGAGAATGTCGAAACATGTCTTGTGAATTTAAACTCAAAGTTGTCGTTTCTTTTTTGAGAAATATTGTTTCATTTTAGTACTTAAAAGTATTCGCTAAATTCATATCAACCTCACTGGTTATTTTAGAGAGCTTAACATGGCCAAAAATACCGCACAGTTAAAAATTTATTGGTGGAGAAATAGTCCACGGACAACAATATTTTTCACCTATTTACTCGTAAGGTCTCAAAATCCTCCTTTCTGCCTTCATTTGCAACTCTGAAAATTATGTGTAAATTCAACCAGTATCCTCTTTAATGATAACTTTTCCTTTATCTCATTACACTTTTATATTGATAAACAGAGCTTCAGCCAGAGGAGAGCAGCCAAATGGTAGTTCCAGCAGATGAGAGCGGTCAGGAATACCAAGGCATACTATTTCCTTCAGATCAGAGGAACCAACAAACAGTTCCTTTTAAAGGTGGAGGAAGCCAAATGACAGTCAACATTCATAACTTTGAGGTTGGATCTATGGTAGAAGTTCCTGTAGCGGATGCCGGTTACACCAGATATGGTGTCATTCGCTGGATTGGAAACCTTCCATCTATAAACAAGCTGGCAGCTGGTTTGGAGTTGGTAAGGAAGTTGATTGAATACTTTATGAGCTTGCAAGAGGGTAAGGGTTCACGATTAAACTTGATTATGATAGAACAGTCTCTTAATTACGAAGTGAAATGAAGGTTAGTTTGTGTACAAGATCTCCTGTTAGACTTGCTTTTCTAAAAAAATGACGAGAAGGCATACGGAAGGCTTGAAAATATATAGCAACTCTGAAAAAAAGTTACTTTTCACGGTCCCACAATGTCTTTTGTCCCTATAAAATGATGTGGTCTAACGGCTAGTGCGTAAAACTTCAAATTTAGAGGCTCAGTTTCGACACCTGGGTTCGTCATGATGTTGTATTCTCAGGTCTGACACTTCATCTCAAGTACCCCACTCCGCCTGGGCAAATGAATGGGTACAGGTGAAGCATGAGGGAAGCTGAGTAGATGCCGAAAGGAAACAGGCAATGGAAGAAGCAATTATACTCATAGTCGCTTTTTTCATATATTCATATACATTGCAGGACTTTCATTAAAGAAAGATGTTTCATCTGCCCAGATGGAAGGGGTTTCTTTGTATGTCAACGTGTTGACCAATGGTTCCAGAAAAGAACTCGCGTTTTTCATAAAATGAACCAACAAATCCAATTTGTAATTCCTGGGAAAAGAAAGCCATGATTTACGTGATACTCTTATCAATATCAATAAGTGTTTTTCTTCTCTTGAAGGAAGAGGAAGAGTCTGCATGTTCAGATGGGACTTTTCATAAAGAAAGATACTTCACCTGTCCAAGGGGAAGAGGTTTCTTTGTTCTATTGGAGAATTGCCGACCAGATTCCCGGTTTGCTAACTCGTCAACGACTGATGCCAGTTTAAATACTGAAAAAGGTAATCAAGCCAAGTTTGCAAACTGTACAGGGGATTGTGGCAAATGCGTCACATTCTAGATACATCTGAGCCCCAACCCACCTCTTGGGAAAATCCCAATTATCGGCCGGTATGCTTTACACAGCACTTTTATTTAACGATTTGGTCATTTAACCCCCACCCCCCAGATATTGCAGATGTTGAATAATGTTCTGGAGGTGAATGGTAGTCGTTATTCAGCTCATTGTGTTGAAAACTTAACTTCTCCCAAATGTTTGTGCTGTTGAAGTTTTTGGTTCACCATTTCAGTGTCTTGGCTACTTTTTAACAGCAGCTCATTTTGATAGTTTCTCTGTACGCTGTTGTCCACACCTCTCCTTTAAGGTTATGTCTAAAAGGAGTTATACGCCTCAGAAAGCGTGTAATCTTATCTCGGCCACAATAAGTATAGGTCAAACTCTGTTGCCGACTGCTTTGCGAGACAAAACCTCCCGAAAACTGCCTTCAAATGTGCAAAAAAAAAGGCTTCTACAGGGGCTGCTATTTTAAATCGTGCTGAGACTGAAATAATTTAACTAAAATAAAAATTTTTTGCGACAACCCGAGGGGAAAATATTTGTAAACTGGGTGTTGTGGCTTTGTGTCTGTAGCATTGTCTGGAGTTTGAGTGCTTAGGTTACTCTTTGGAATCTCTAAAGGTGCGAACAAGTACTGAATTTTAAACGTACTTTTCTTTAACCGATATGGTTCTTAGACCTTACCCGTCCTCTAATTAAATACGAAGATGTTCCGTTAGCTCTACACTTGTTGTTAAGAGAGATCTGTTTATTAAGTTCTTATGTTCTAATTATTTGTTATCACAATTTTGATGTAATGAATAATGATTGTTTGCAGACTTTGTAAGCATGCGCTCTCCAAAAATAGAAGGCATAACCTTGCCTCGTACTACTCTTGAGGATAGTTACTGTGGCCCCATGCGCGGCCTCCAAGGTCACCATTTCTCTTCCTACCTTGACGCCACACTTTTCAGTATGTTCGCATTCACAAGTGTGTTGGACACCCTGCTGCATCGTCGCAGAAAAGATAATGATTTGGAGGAATATGATCAAGTGCAGCGTGTGCTAAGAAACTTGATTGTCAATCCTCTGAGAGTGTACGTAATGGCATTATAAATTAATGACAAGATAATATAAATTAATGAACAGATGATATCTAGGGAAGCATATTAGGAAGAAAGGAACAAAGTACATGTTACACACTGTTATACTGGATCCCTTTAGCAAATAAAGTGGAACTTACACGAAGCAGCCACCCAGGAACTGACTTGCATGTCTGGCTGACACAGGTTGCCAATTTGAATTTGTTACACATGTAGTTCTAGCAGGTAGCTGTAGACTTTAACTAATCCAGTGTTTATTTTACCTACTATACATTGTTGGTATCTTTCGCACTCATCTTGCATTTTTACGTGCAGATTTCATTGGGGTGTCATTTCAGATTCTTGACGATAAATATCTTAATGTTAAATATTGTGTTATTGCAGGTACGGTTTCGTTCGTGCAGACCGCCTTCTTGCGCTGAGACAACTGCTTGACCGGCTCAGCTCCACAGCGGGCCTAATAAATGAAGCAAAAGGTGATTTGAAAACCTTCAAGACAACCTTAAAATTGCAGATAAAACTTACCAAAGAGAACACTGTAGTGACGTTAATGTCAAAGTGTTGTTTTCATATTAGCGACTTGATTACTTTCGCAAACAGAAAGTTTTTGGGAACACTTGAATGTCGATTCTTACTTAAACAGTTTCAAAATTAATTTGAGATTCGCCACTAATACTAGTGCTAGGGCATAGCGTATAGGGATATTTAGGCTACAAGTGTCTCCCTTCTCTAGTGAAAAAGAGATGATTTTTCACAGCCTAGCATACTTTTAATTGCGAGTGAAGTGCTAGTGTCCTCTTGCCGTCCCTGTGCATTTCCATATCTTAAATGTTACTTTTCTACTCAGTACTCCTTGGTATGCGCTGATATTTTGTACCAAATTGTCTCGGAACCGTTCATGATTTGTGGGCTGGTTAGACCTTCAAAGCAGTAAGAGAGCTAGTCAAACTTTGATTAGAAAGGTAACGAAGATGCATTGTTTCCGTCAGATTATCCTTGATCAAGGGTCACCCCATAGCTGAGGCTCACACTTTACGCAAACTGTTTGTCATTTTTTTGTGGTGATATTTTTCAGACCCAGAGGAATTTTTAAACGCTCTCCTGCAACAAGTATTAAAAGAGGATCCATTCCTTCACTTAAAGTAAGTTATTTGTAAAATACATTTTGACTGCATTTCACACTGTATTCAATTGGGATTTTGCTCAGGAGCAAACGTAACCTTGTTGTATGGATTTTACAGGCCCCGAGATGTACAAGAGAAGAAATGTGAAGGAGCTTTCTTGTACCAAATAATAACTGACAAGGATGAAACGGTGAAAATTGCTCAGGTCCAAACTATGTTAGAGCAGTCTTTTATCTCAGCAGATCTCTTTCTATCTGAGGTAAGAGGGACGTGTGTTGATGCAAACATTTTCTTAACGAAAAAGCATTTTCTAATAAACACACTGCATTTTCGCTAGTAACCTCTGTAAGTCTTAAGTGAAATTGTTTCACTCTTCACTCCCAGAAGAAATATATTTTCCTGGTAATGTCTATAAATTTTCAAGCGATAAGGTGATAAAGAGCAAGAAAAATGAAAGCAAAGCGATATTGTGTGATTGAACACCACATTCTTAGCGCCACGTTTGCGAGAAATGTATGGCAGACAGTGTATAGATTGAATTTATGGTGGAACTACGTCACCTTTCTCGCGTTTCGTTTTCTTTTTTTTTTGCCTCAAGTTTGGTCGGTTATAATACTCACATTGATCACCCTTCTTTGACATTTCTGTGAGTAGTTTGTTTGTTTTCACAGGTACCATCGTGTTTGATTCTTCAGATGCCTCGGTTACGTAACAGACTCAAAGTTTACGAGATGATTCTACCCAATCTGCAACTCGACCTCACTTACATCGTCGAAAATGGTGCGTGCCACAGGAATCTCACATGTAGCTTTACTTTGTCAGAGTCGCTATCTGGCGACGCAAACTCATGCAAGAGTCGCAGCAAACAACGGGAGAGAACGCCAAATGTTATATAAATCAACTCGTGTCACCTATTGCGCGTTACTACGTCTTTAGTTGTGTGATTTACAAAGTGTGACGTCATTTTGCAAAGAGCTTGTTGTTAACAAAGATCATTTTACGTATATGTGCACGATCCTTCGTAGTAAAGCACTATTTAAGCAATAGTGAAAATCAGACCTGAAAAAAATTCAGGCCTGTACGGGATTCGAACCACTGACCTCTGCGATACTAGTGCAGCGCTCTACCAATTGAGCTAACAAGCCAACTGGGAGCAGGCCATCAAATTAATTCGACATAAACCCGTAGATGATAAATCAAACAACAAACATATGAAATACATATATATGAACTGCGGTTATGAAACGTATATGTGCACGATCCTTCGCAGTAAAGCACTATTTAAGCAATAGTGAAAATCAGACCTGAAAAAAATTCAGGCCTGTACGGGATTCGAACCACTGACCTCTGCGATACTAGTGCAGCGCTCTACCAATTGAGCTAACAAGCCAACTGGGAGCAGGCCATCAAATTAATTCGACATAAACCCGTAGATGATAAATCAAACAACAAACATATGAAATACATATATATGAACTGCGGTTATGAAACGTATATGTGCACGATCCTTCGCAGTAAAGCACTATTTAAGCAATAGTGAAAATCAGACCTGAAAAAAATTCAGGCCTGTACGGGATTCGAACCACTGACCTCTGCGATACTAGTGCAGCGCTCTACCAATTGAGCTAACAAGCCAACTGGGAGCAGGCCATCAAATTAATTCGACATAAACCCGTAGATGATAAATCAAACAACAAACATATGAAATACATATATATGAACTGCGGTTATGAAACGTATATGTGCACGATCCTTCGCAGTAAAGCACTATTTAAGCAATAGTGAAAATCAGACCTGAAAAAAATTCAGGCCTGTACGGGATTCGAACCACTGACCTCTGCGATACTAGTGCAGCGCTCTACCAATTGAGCTAACAAGCCAACTGGGAGCAGGCCATCAAATTAATTCGACATAAACCCGTAGATGATAAATCAAACAACAAACATATGAAATACATATATATGAACTGCGGTTATGAAACGTATATGTGCACGATCCTTCGCAGTAAAGCACTATTTAAGCAATAGTGAAAATCAGACCTGAAAAAAATTCAGGCCTGTACGGGATTCGAACCACTGACCTCTGCGATACTAGTGCAGCGCTCTACCAATTGAGCTAACAAGCCAACTGGGAGCAGGCCATCAAATTAATTCGACATAAACCCGTAGATGATAAATCAAACAACAAACATATGAAATACATATATATGAACTGCGGTTATGAAACGTATATGTGCACGATCCTTCGCAGTAAAGCACTATTTAAGCAATAGTGAAAATCAGACCTGAAAAAAATTCAGGCCTGTACGGGATTCGAACCACTGACCTCTGCGATACTAGTGCAGCGCTCTACCAATTGAGCTAACAAGCCAACTGGGAGCAGGCCATCAAATTAATTCGACATAAACCCGTAGATGATAAATCAAACAACAAACATATGAAATACATATATATGAACTGCGGTTATGAAACGTATATGTGCACGATCCTTCGCAGTAAAGCACTATTTAAGCAATAGTGAAAATCAGACCTGAAAAAAATTCAGGCCTGTACGGGATTCGAACCACTGACCTCTGCGATACTAGTGCAGCGCTCTACCAATTGAGCTAACAAGCCAACTGGGAGCAGGCCATCAAATTAATTCGACATAAACCCGTAGATGATAAATCAAACAACAAACATATGAAATACATATATATGAACTGCGGTTATGAAACGTATATGTGCACGATCCTTCGCAGTAAAGCACTATTTAAGCAATAGTGAAAATCAGACCTGAAAAAAATTCAGGCCTGTACGGGATTCGAACCACTGACCTCTGCGATACTAGTGCAGCGCTCTACCAATTGAGCTAACAAGCCAACTGGGAGCAGGCCATCAAATTAATTCGACATAAACCCGTAGATGATAAATCAAACAACAAACATATGAAATACATATATATGAACTGCGGTTATGAAACGTATATGTGCACGATCCTTCGCAGTAAAGCACTATTTAAGCAATAGTGAAAATCAGACCTGAAAAAAATTCAGGCCTGTACGGGATTCGAACCACTGACCTCTGCGATACTAGTGCAGCGCTCTACCAATTGAGCTAACAAGCCAACTGGGAGCAGGCCATCAAATTAATTCGACATAAACCCGTAGATGATAAATCAAACAACAAACATATGAAATACATATATATGAACTGCGGTTATGAAACGTATATGTGCACGATCCTTCGCAGTAAAGCACTATTTAAGCAATAGTGAAAATCAGACCTGAAAAAAATTCAGGCCTGTACGGGATTCGAACCACTGACCTCTGCGATACTAGTGCAGCGCTCTACCAATTGAGCTAACAAGCCAACTGGGAGCAGGCCATCAAATTAATTCGACATAAACCCGTAGATGATAAATCAAACAACAAACATATGAAATACATATATATGAACTGCGGTTATGAAACGTATATGTGCACGATCCTTCGCAGTAAAGCACTATTTAAGCAATAGTGAAAATCAGACCTGAAAAAAATTCAGGCCTGTACGGGATTCGAACCACTGACCTCTGCGATACTAGTGCAGCGCTCTACCAATTGAGCTAACAAGCCAACTGGGAGCAGGCCATCAAATTAATTCGACATAAACCCGTAGATGATAAATCAAACAACAAACATATGAAATACATATATATGAACTGCGGTTATGAAACGTATATGTGCACGATCCTTCGCAGTAAAGCACTATTTAAGCAATAGTGAAAATCAGACCTGAAAAAAATTCAGGCCTGTACGGGATTCGAACCACTGACCTCTGCGATACTAGTGCAGCGCTCTACCAATTGAGCTAACAAGCCAACTGGGAGCAGGCCATCAAATTAATTCGACATAAATCCGTAGATGATAAATCAAACAACAACAAACATATGAAACATATGT